TTGATTTAGTACTGCAAATACACCAAGAAAAGAGCCCAGAAACTACAGGACTGCAATAAGTGGTTTCTCTGCTCTATGGAGGTGTTTAGGGACCACAGAACTTGGGCTGAACCTGGAGTATTGTTTCTGTTCTTTATCATCCTGGCAATTGATGGATTCACTTTTTTTTCTTTAACAAATTAGTTTCCTTGTGTATTCATCAGTATTACTGAATTATTGTCCTAATGTCCAAGGCAATAAGGGTAGTGATCCCTTCCACAATAAATTGTATTAGATGTTAAATATCAAACATTCACTTGGCCAGTTTGAAGCCATGATTCAATTTGCTATCATAAAGTAGCCAGTGTAGTGCTGAACCACGGGAGCAGCTCACCATGCTGGATCCATCAGGGTGTCCACAACAGCCTCACAAGCTTCACTCCTAATTCTGCTCAGCAGAGCTACAGCTGTACTTGGTGAGAGCCCACTTGTGGTCTGGGCACTAAGGCCACCTCCTTGTCTCCCCAGGTGGCGGAAGAGGAATTGCTGTCAGGAAGAGTGACAGGACACATCTGCCATGTTCTTCTGGGGACCTCTCTGGGGGTGGCTGTGGACCAGGAGTCTGTGCCATGGTAAGTGCAGTGCCATTCTCCACCTGGGAATGCCAACAAGCTGTAGGTAACAGTCTAAACGTGGTCATCTCTGAGGGCTTTTGCAAACTGAATTGCATTTAGAGGTAAGAGGAGTGTAGTTTGCACAACAAGTAGTTGATGAAGGTCGCTTTAGCAGCTCCAGACTAGGTGGGTTTGAACTGCATCTCCACATCTCTTCTCACTAAAACTTTCTCAATTTTATTGATTTAATAATGAAAGTGTTATACAGTTTCCTCATTCCTGAAACTTGTTTAAATGTATTCCTTTTTCAAAGGAGCACATCCTCACTCTGATTTATTTTAAAATGGCTTTTAGAAGGTGTCATCCTTGTGATGAAGTGTTAGGTCTGTGTTGCCAGTGTGCCATTAAAAATTGAATTTCTGACGTTTAAATGTCTCACTCATCCCAAGTGTCACAGTTTGACAGCTCTGCATGTCACATTACAGCACAGTATTATGGATTCATTTCCTCTGTCAGGTCAAAAAAAAAAAAAAAAGACTAAAAATGAGAGAAAGCAAAATCTGCAGTCTCCTTCATTACTGAGATGGAAATTTACAGAAATATGCCTATTAGCACTGAAATAACTCTGTACCTTGTGCTGCCTGTCTGTGCAGAAGCAACCTTTGTCCCATGCTCCTGTACAAACACTAAGAGAAAGCTGGGACAATCTCTTCAGTTGTCTGCAAACTTCTCAAAGATGGAGCAAGGAATATAAAGGGAATCAACAAACAGATATTGTAACAAAATCAAAACATGGCCAGACCCCATTGTTTATTCTTGACTAGGTCATTGAAAAGGTCATGTGGTATATTTCTTGTTGTTTTGTTTTGCCAACTTTAGGCAGCTGTAGCTTTGGTGTCCTTTCTCTGTTTATCTATCTGCAATGTGATAACTTCAAAACATGACATCTGATCGGGTTCAAAATGTTGGGAGTGTTTGCATCAGTAAGCACAACTTTATTGATTTTGCCTAAGGTAACAAAAATGGCCTGGGTTTCCTGTTTTCTGCCTAGAAGGTTTGACCAGAGACAGTGTAGGGCTTTGACCATGAATTTCTGATGCCTGTCAGCTCAGTCAAGGTTACAAGCTCAAGCCATCTGCTATTTCATCCAGCAAGTCAGGCCAGGTGTGCACTGCAAAGGCACTGTTCGCTGCCTCCTGGATGGGTATGAGATGGTGAGTGGTGGATCTGGCTCCGTTTGGCTGCTGACTTCCCAGTAACCCACTGTATGGCATGGTCAACTTCTTCCATGATGTGGCCTCCCACTAAGAGGGACCCCCCAAAAAGTAACAGATGGTATCAGGTGGCAGTTGCTTCAAAAAATTATTGTGCCCTTTAAGCCTCGTCCTTTTTCAAAGAACTTTCAAGAAAAGAGAGACTCGCAGCTGGGCAGCAGGGCTTGCCCTGGCCATAAGCACCTGCTCCCTCTGATCGCTTCCTTCCAGAGAGGAATCTGGAAACAGAGGTGCTCGAGTCCCAGGCCTCTGGGCTTCCACCCAGGCTGCCCATCGCTTCAGCAGCTGCAGCGCTCCCAGCTCGGGAGGGGCTGCAGGGGCAGTGCCCGCAGCACTGGGGGACAGTTGTGCTGGAAGGGGGAAAGGCAGGAGTGCAGGTTACGGCCGGGGGGAGGAGGCGGTGAGGGCGGGATGGGGCGAGGAGGAGCAGGAAAGGCGCTCAGCCCTTTCCCGGGATAAGGCGGGATGCGGGGCGCGGCGCGGCCGGCAGGGGGCAGCAGGCGGCCGGGGATGGCGCCGGTCGGGGCCGGTCCCGCGGTGTGAGCGGGGAGAGCCCGCGGAGTCAGCGGCGAGAGCCCTCGGTGTCAGCGCCGCGGGGGGACAGCGGGCCGGGGGCAAAGCTGCGGGCACCGGGAGCTCCGCGCAGTGCGCGCCCGGTGGCGGGAGGGGAGCGGGGCAGGGCGGGCGCGCAGCCGCCAGGTGCGGAGCGGTGCGGTGCGGAGCGGAGCATCGGCCGGCGGCGGTGGCCGCCCGGGAGCGGGGACCGCCACGGGCACGGTACCGCGGAGGCTGCGCCCTGCCCACCCCGTGCCCTCTCCGCGTCCGGGACCCGCGAGGGGCCGCCCCCGCCCTGCCGGGTACGCGCCCGAGCACCGCCACTGCCCCTGGCGGGTCACCGGCCCCCGGCCCCGGCAGGGCTCCCCAGTGCGGGCCGGCCTCCCCCCGCCGCGGCCGGGACTCCCCGGGCTGAGCCGAGCCGGGCTGTGCTCCCCGCGCTCCCCGCGGGATGCCCCGGGCGGGGCCGTATCCCGCACCGGCCTCTCCCGGCCGCGCCGCCTCCCCGCCGGTCCCCACCCGGTTCGGGGGAGGCGAAGGGGAGCACGAGAGTTGCGGTGCCCCATGTTCCCCGCGTCCCGTTCCCCAATGCCGCTCCTCGGGCGGGAGGCAGGACCTGCGCCCTGGAGCTCCGTCCTGCTGCGGGGGGACGGGAATGCCCGGGACGGGGCGCGGGCCCGGGGGGGCCCGGTGGAGGCTGCGCCGCGAGTGAGCGGGGCTGTGCCGCTATCGCCCTAGGTAGGATGGACCTGCCCCCCTGCCTCTGCCCCCATGTCCAATAAGAAGAGACCCGGCTTGACACCTGCCTATATACAGAGGAGGAGAGCAACATCTTCAGCGCTGGTCTTTGGAGGGGGGGGGAACAACCCAAAACACAACACACCATCAGGTCAGAGCGGGGGGCTCGGTGGTATTATAAAACCCCCCCAAGACTATGACTTCCAGTAAAATTGAGATGCCAGGGGAGGTGAAGGCAGATCCTGCAGCTCTGATGGCATCTCTGCATCTGCTGCCTTCTCCCACTCTCAACCTTGAAATCAAATACACCAAGGTAAGTTGTGTTCGTTTGTTCTGGCAGAGAAATTCATGGGTTTCCCTCCAAAGGAGGAATTTTGCTTAAAATCAGTTTCATTCTGTCCTACCCAACTTGAGTGTAGAGATAAAAAAAACTGCTAAGACTGCCTTGAATCTGTAATAAAGGAAACAGATTTTTAGCCCTGTAATTATCTGCAAAACCACAGGATAATAGAAAAGCAAATTAGATCTGCTGGGACTGGCTTTGCCACTTCTCTTTAAATGTAGTATTTCCTACAGAGCTGCTGGGGTTTACTTTCAGTGCAAAATCAGTAGTTCTCGAATATACTTTAGTTGCTTTTGATGTACTTCAGAGGACATTACTATACATACCTGTGTATCTCAATCAGAAGATAAAAATATTTTCTTCCTTGAATTACCCTGTGTGCCCAAGGGACTCTTTTATGATTCCTGGAGGACTCTTAACACTACCAGGTTGTTACAGCACTGGAACAGGTCTCTACCAACTTCCGTGATACTTGAATACACCCTTGAACAATATTGCAAAGAGGGCATATTTTTTCCTACTAACCTTTAAGACTAATTTTCATAAAGAGAGAGTTGGGGTCGGTATAGAAATATCTGCTGGTTTTCTGTGGTGTATTATGAGACTAAATTAGTTTTGTCAATTAAAATGGGCTTTAAGAACAGTCATTTGTTTGTAAATGCAATTTGAATTTTTTAAATTCGTTGATATGTTTTTAATCTTAACATCTTTAGTATCTTTAAAGAATGATTTCATTGCTGTTGGAGAAGTTTCAAATCTATTGTATAAACAGATTACAATGTGTCAGACTTTGTTTCTAATTACCAAGTAACTTAATAGGAAAATAAGCACATCAGCACTGGAAAAAGGTGATAACATTTTTATCTACTGGAAATACAACTTCAGGAGCTTTAAAGCTGATAGGAGACTCATTCTGGCCGATGTAGTGTAATTTTTTCCTTCATATCATCAGTTTAAAAGCTTTTCATCTTTTCTCTTTTTTTTTAGCCGGTGCCAAAACTAATTTGTCCTCTAATTTGTTACAGCAATTCCATGTTCTAGAAGCATGTTTCAGAGAAAAGTCAGCTATTTTAGATTTCATTACATTTTAATGCAAACTGCAATATGCAAATTAAAAGATGCATATGGTTTCTGGCACACAATTTCTTTTAAAATAGTTTAAATAAATAAGAAATGCAGTTATTGGATGTTGTGTAGTATTACACTTTGGGAGCAATCACACTGTGCAAATAGTATTTGGCATGAATTTTGTTCATTGTTGGTTTCAGTGCAAACTGTGCTTCAGGAGTGTTCAATGGGAAATACTTGGGAGTGGTATCTCAGCCTGTTTGCATAATAAATTTACTTGCCTTTCTCTGTTCTGAAACTGGAGAATTGGTTCTAAAAATCTTTGAAAAATACAGCAGCCATCAGCAATCACAGCTTCCTATCTGTAAGAATGTGAGCTGGATGGTGACCTTTAATAAATCAGAATACACAGTGCCATCATCTCAGATGTGCAGTGTTACACATTTTATACTCGTGGAACAATTAAAAGACAATTCTTTCATTTCAATATTAAGCCAAAAAGAATGGCAACATGTTTCTTCTGAGCTTGGTTTTGAGGTATCAGGTAACTCCTGGTTGCTTTTGAGAAAAATTTGGTTTAGGACAGGTATCAAATGTTTCACTTGGCACATCCTCTGTCTCTGTTTTTCTGTCTGTCTCGCTCTTTCCTCCTTTTTCTCTTTCTCTGCAGGAAATTCAAGTGATTTATAGATAATTGGAGTCTTCAGCTTTGAGTCTTGACTTGGGCAGGACTTTTATCCAGGATCCACTTTCCCACCTATTACAAAGAAAAACAATCAGAAATGAAATAATGGATTGTAACTTGATTCTTTCTTTTGAGGGAGTGGTCTCTTCATGTCCTAAATGACAAACAACTTCCATAAACAACAAATAACATTAGACTAAAGCACTTTGGCATGAAAAAAAAAAAGAAAACAACAAACTCAAACCTTGTAAAATCAGACATCTGTAAGCATTCCTAGCAGCCTCTCTCCTGCTAGTTAGCTGGGAATTTTAAATACACAACCAGGACACAGACTTCTTGAACTCTTTATTACATCTGTCTATGAATCTTAACCATTTGGGAGTTAAATCTTTGTGAAAAATAGAAGTACTTGTGAACATTTAAACCAAGTGAAAAAAATTTAAAATATATTTTGCCAATTAATTTCTATTTCTGGAATTCTAAAGCTGGTAAATAGACAGTTTTGTTAGGATAGAACATGTTAAAATTCCAAGATTTCTTAAATGATATTTGTTAAAGATGTGTATGTAAAGATATGTACTGGGAAAAAAAATTATTATTCATTAATCTTTAAAAGACTGCATCACCCTTGGGGTTGCTATGAAAGCTCCTTCTGAGAACACAGATAAAACAAATACTACCTGAGTGATTTTCATTTATTCGATTATTAGGCAGAATTATTGAAACTTGTGATATATTGGTCCAGTAGGTTTATTGAAGGAACCAGAAAACTGTATATTAAGTCCTTCCAATCTGTACACCTGATGGAGCACAGAGGTAATATAGGTTGGATTGGTCAGGTAAAATATGTTCAGTGGTGAAAATACACAATGCCTTGCTTTTATGTAAGATGTGCAGCAGTAGCTATTGTGGCTTCAGTGCTGGAAGTCAGCCGATGCTGCTTTTAACAAACAGTCATTAGAAATATTTTTTCCCCATTTTTTTTAATACCTTGGCACGATCTGTGAAAAATAAAGTGTTGTAGATGTGCTTAATGAGAACTGGTGAGCAGGATGTGAACCAGACATGCAGGTGAGTGTCCAAGCACACAGGGTTAAGTTTTTCTGCATGGCTGGCAAGTGCTAGGACTGCTACATGCAAGATTCTCTCTCTTTTCACCGTGATGGCTCTTTAACTCTTTACTTCTTAACACTGACATTTGGGGAGGGATTGCATGTGCAGAATAGGACGTCTTGTGGTGTTCCATGGAATTAGGTTGCTCTGCAGCCCTGTGGCACAGCGAGCCCTCATCAGACTCGGCAGGAGCGTGCTGGCAGTGCTGTGCTCCATATGTAAGGGGGCATGTAGGTAGGAAGGGGATCCAGCCCTCCCCCTGGCAACAAGTCACGCTTCTACAAAAGTCGACTTTATGGCAGAAACTCTCCCAGAATGGGCTGCTCCAGAAATATCAGATGTGTGAGATAAGCTGTGGCATGACGTCCGGTAAGGACACGTTACTGGCATGTTTTGTGCAGGAAGCCCAGCCCTGAGAACCTGACAGCTTCTGAGGGTGATCACAGGGTTCTCAGTATAGTATCATGTTGATACTCCTTTTTTTTTGCTTTTACAAAACTCCATTTTCCCTCCTGAGATGCCTCCCAGGTATCTGACAGTAGATTTGGAATCAGCCCAGTGGATTGAGCCCTTTGCAGCATTTCCCTCTGGCTGTCTCCATCTGAGGGGCTAAAGGTGTTTCTACAGGATGTAGCCATCCTTCCTTTGTTATGGCATAACCACACTGCTTTACAAAGTATTTTCACTGTGGTTTTAGTCAGACATGTTGACTTTTTAAAAGACAGCTTGATATAAAACGAGGACCCCAGGGCTTTGTCCTGTCCCAGCTCTGTCACTACATCAGGTAGCTGAGTGAACAAACGTTCTCAGTTTGCATCATACTGGGGACACTAATCCAGATGGGTGTTTTAAGTTTCTTACTTGCCAACTGATTTAATTCTGAGAAAGAGCTGAACAACTTTAGCATAAGGAAAAGCTGAAGAATTGTGGGTTTGAGAGCTTTTTATAAAGAGGTGCTCTAAAGGGATGAAGTTACAGTGCAGTAGCAGTGAAGAGGTACATGAAACATTTCTGCATGAACAGCCTATGAATTAGCTGACAATCATATTTTCTTTGTGCAGTGTTAAAGGGTTTACCTCTACCCTTACACCATAGGCTAAAATCCATCCAGTTTCCACACACACACCAGAAAAACTACCCAGCACTGCAAAAGAAAGCTGTATACAGGAGTTTGTATGAAGTGTAGGCAAACTGCTTCTGGGTAGACAAAAACTAACAAATACATTTCAAATTCTCGTATGATAAGCATCTGGGTTTGAAGCATTTTATTATTAAGGTTCAGTACTTTCATCACCATTATGCTTTCTTGGCATTACCCTTTTCATCAAAATTTCCAGCATGTGTTTTCCAGATAAACTTCTAAACTGACATTAAGATAGGAGGCAGCAAATCTATTTTATTTAGAATAATATGCAGAATCTTTGTCATTTTTTGAACTGCAGAGAAGCTTTGGCAAAACTCAGGTAAGTGATGCATACATGCACTTTCCCACCTGTCTTTCCCCAAACAAGCTCCTTTAATGCCTTTTGAAGTCAGATTCTGGGAGTGATGCTTGAGAAAACCAGCTCACATTTTGGGTCAGGGGGGTGAGCACAGTCCTGTTACAAAACACTGGGTACAGAAAATTAGAGATGTTTGCTTGAAGAGTAGACAAATAGAACAGCTACTTTCCCCTTAGTGGAACACTTCAGCTTGTGATGCTGCCATTAGATATGTCCCTCTGTATTATCATATATGATGTTTTAGTGTATAAACCGTATTTAGATTTACTGTTGTTTAAATATACAGTTTGAATTCTCTTCTAGTGTATTCATACTTTGGGTTTAGTACTACAGTCCATCAATTCATACAGCAATTGCAAACTTTTTATGCACTTCTTTCCAATTAGCAGCCTGAATATAGGATTTCTGTACTCTCAAACTCTTCTACATAAACCCAATTTACCGAAGTATTTAATGAGGGACAAGAAACAACTGTAGCCCTACATGTATCCAGTCCCTGCCTTTCCTTACTCCAGTACAGCCATGTAATTCAAGAGCATTAAAAACACAGAAACCACCAGGCTGAAACTGGTCACAACTGGAGAACTCCTGCAGAATGATGCACTGGAGTGGGTAACTATGGTAGCAGTGACCTCTTACTGTGCTGAATCTTTAGGGAAAGGCTGGATCTTTAGGGAAAATGCAAACTGGTTTAATGCATCAAACTGTGCAATAATATATTTCTGTCTCTGTCCAGTCTGTAAGGTCAGATGATACACTGAAGGACAAGTGCTATGCAATTAGTGCTTTTGTCCTCTTTGCAAAAAATGTTTAAAATTTCAAGTATTCAAATATAAAAAGATCCATATATTTATTTGCACAACAAAACCAGAAGGTCAATAATAATTAGAGCACTTGCCCAAGTTGAAAAGCAGACAAATTCGTACCCCTGCTGTGAAGCAAACAGAGCAGAAACTTGAATATGGATTCCTAATTTCTGATGGTGGATAGGCCCAAATTTTGCCACCTTTGGCTATCCTTGGAAAGAGTCTCACATTCTTTCCTGTTGAATAATTCACTCTTAAGTTTGTATGAGGTCTCAGAGATATCAACTTGATATTCCAGTGGGCAGGACACTCATGAAGGAAAAGCAGGATTCATGTCTTTTCTCCAAGAATACTCACAATGTTAGACAGAGCAAGGATTTGATCCAAAATCTGTGGCTGTCTAGGCATTGGCTGTATGGAGGATTGCGTTGGGACACACACATCCTCTCACACTCTCTTCTGAGACTTCATTCTGACTGAAAAATAATATCCCTCTTTAATTTTTCAATACATTTTGTCCTTCAGAAACATTTCCCACAGAAGTTCACCGATTCTGATGCATTCCCACATTGAATTTCTGTCTTGTATAGCCACATTTTATGATAAATCCCACAGTCCAGCAATTTTTGATGCAGCTTGTCCATCACCCCGTCCACGCAAAATTGTTCCCGACAGATCTTAATGGGCTCTGCCTGTTTGAAGTTATTTGCTGCCATAAACTGCCTTGTTCTTGGGAGCACTACACCGTGGAACCACTGAATCCAGTTGTCATCCCTTCTTTACACTGCCTGTTGTCCGACATTTCAAGTCACTGGGAACAGATCTGCATCCAGAAGTCTGGACCCTTCCTTTCAAGAGCCTTGTCTTTGCATTTACTACCTTTGGCAAATTTCATCTCCCTTGAATTGCCCAGATGTCGTTTTACTTCAGCCTTGGTAATATTTTCTGCAGTACACTGATTAGCCTGAACATTTTTATCTACAAATTCTATACCTTACTATTAATGATCTGCAAAAGCAGGTGAACCAAGATATCGATTGCTAGTCACGGTAATGAAGGGGCACCTTGCTATTAACCTCTTTCCAGGGAGAATTATCCGTTTATTTCCAGTCTTTTTATCTTATCTCTTAACCACTTTTTAATCCATGGCAGGACTTTATCTTTCACCATATGGTTACTAACTTTCCTTAATAGCCTCTTGCTAAGGACTTTATCATCAAAAGCCTTTTTAAAGTCTAAATAAATTATATCCACTGATTCATCTCAGCTCCTAATTTGACTAACTATCTTCCAAGAAATCTCACACATTTACAGAGATAAATGACAAAAGATGAGTTCAGTGGTCCATATCATAAATTCTTAGTCAGGTCCTGCATAAAGTCACATTTCTCCTTTTACAGTTTTGCAGCTATTTTTCCTAAGGCTGAACTGTAACTTTTATTTATTGTTTTTTTAAAATAGTTTCATTCTCCCAAGTTCTAAAAAAACCACAGCCTTTTATCTGTTTGTTCGGGGGTTTTTAAGAGTAGAACTCCTTCTCTGAAACAAGTAAGCAATATATCAACTTTAATTCAGCTGAAAGAAATGACAGACAAAAAAATGCACTTAAAGAGAGACAAGGTTATAAGGAAGCTATGTAAATATAATATAA